TAGGGAAGTAGAGTGATGGATGTTAATTTTACAAGGTGCTGTGCATTTCTCTCACACTTGCTGTGCCCATTTTCCTCATCCTTTTATCAGTCCATCCATTCTCTCCTCCGCTGTGGTTGGCATTACAGAGAAAGCGCCCCTCCATTGTGTGAACTGTACATCCTCAGTGAACAATGAAGGTAGACATCAACATGAATTACACTTGCTGCTGAGAATGCCATTTGTATAGCAATATGATTTACTTTCTCATTTCCTCATGTAGAGAAACACATTTTAGGCAGGCAGGCAATTTTGATTGATTGATTGATTGAAGATGTTTTCCCCCATGATTTAATTTTTTTGCTCATGTTCTCGCGCAACGTTTCAATTACAGTGATAAAGATACAATGAAATGTCTACACACACACACTCTCGCATACCTTTTATAGTGTGTATGTGTGTACACCTCTCGCAACATTACCGGCACTCACACTTACTTTGACTTCAACCATGTGTATTGACCTTAACAATACATAGAACATTATTTCAGCAGATTAGGAGTTGATTACCGATGTATCCAATTAATTTATCGATTGCAGTCTCCACTGTGAGCCTTCCCTCTTGCCTTCTCAGTCTCAAGAATCGAAGACTGTGTTTGCGTGTGTGCAAAATACCCTTGAATCTTTAGCCAAAGGTTAGGCATCAAGAGACCTGAATCCTTTTAAGATGAATATATATGATTTTGACAAAAATGGCTCAGCTTGGTCAACAGATAGTAGAATTATGATGGAATATTTTCTTTTTTTGTAAACGGTTTCTCCAGACCAGGCCTATGTTTGATGTGTCCTAAGCTTAAGCCCCTCCCCTTTTCAGTGAATTTAGACAGATGTAGACACGCCCACTTCTATAACTCCATTCTTTCACCTTCCAGCCTCTCCACACAGCTCCCAACCATGCTGCTGACCAGCTCTGACTCTCCTGACCAATCACTGCAGAGGAGGGGCGAGGTTTGGGTTGGGGTGAGTGGTCAAGCAATTTAGGTTCAGTGCTAAAGAGCGTAGCTGCAAGTTTAAAAGAGACATCAAGTGTGAGGCTACCAGACTCAGTGGGGGGTTTGGGGCAAAGGTGATAAGTCTTGAACAGAGATTACCACGTTTTGGACTACTCTGTACGGTGACCAAAGGCCTGAATTGAGTAGGAATGAGAAACTACAAACAGAAGGGGAGGAGAGGGAGTTGATTTTTTTTCTTTTCTTTTGATTTCTGTTTTTGTTTTACTTGTACAGGGGGTAAATCGCTGTATTAAAATATGTAAGGTCTTATTTACATTCTCCTGGTTTGGTTACAGAAACTAATAAAATAATATGCTGTAAAAATGAGCTGTGGTTGGGATGTCAGTTTTTTTGGTTTTGAGGTAATGAGTTCATTCAAATACCTCTGTGCATGTATGCAAAACGGAAGAAAAGGAGACTTTTTAAATCTTTATTTTCATATAAGTTAATACACTTCCATAGCCACAAGATTCCAATCTTAACATCTCAAGCAGCACCCAAGTCTTCCCAAGCAAATTCAAAAGAGAGAAGGGAAAATGTTCAACATATACAGAGTTACGATAGCATGATTAGGTAAGGATTAGAGCATGTACACAACAAGCAAAGTTTTTATGGTTTTTAATGTTGCATACCTCTGTACAATCTATCAATCAAGAGGCAGGCCTATTGTAATGCCATTATATTTTCCCCCTTCCTTGAATTTTTCAGTGCCGTAAACACAAAAAAGACGAGACATTACTTAAAAGGTAGAAAAATAATTTCTCTATTAACATGTTAAGTGGACAAAATCACTGAGGACGTAAATGTGGCCTCAATTTATTAAAAACCTGATATACTCTATCCATTTTGGAATTTGTTAGTCAAAGGAATATCTTTTATAGCATTTAAAGATGCAAAAATAGAAATTGTTTTAATGTGAAGATGTGCAATGTTGTCACTGGTATGTTTACTGTCTGTCTTGAAAATAACAGTCTATGTAGAAGTCTTTGTGCTTAAATGAATATGATCAGGAAAATGTTATATTTGCTGTATTCATTATATATACCTACTGCTGGTGCTAGGAATAATGTTATCACCATAATTATAGTTGATTCTTGTCCAGTTGTCTATCATTGTCTTGAATTCCAGTAAATCCAAAAATAGCTGTCCCTCCAGATGGTAAAATATTAAAACATTACAAAATGCATCTATAAGCTGGGTGATATGGACATTTACGCTGATGTCTTCACTTTACTCCTGCTTGCCTAGTCTCACATTATAAGATACCATGTAAAAGCTATCCCAAGCATATAGCTTTCTCTGCGCTGGGTTGTAGTCTACCATGCTGTTGTAGCGATAGCGGTTTTTGAACGGCACTGAGATTATTTTACCCTGGCTGGTTGCGGTGTCATACATGTAATTTATGGTGGTGTTTGGTGAGGTGTAACTAGCAACCGTGTACAGCTTGCCACAGATCATAAAAGCATTAGCCACGGATGTCTTGCGGATTTTAGTCTCCCAGGTTCCCTTCACCTCCAGGTTGTGAGGGTCCAGCTGGGAGATGACAATAGCACCCTTGGCTTTGTTGGTGCTGTATATGGCCCATAGACCATTCTCATCTAATGCCAGGTCAATGTCTGTGTACCCTCCCCAGGAGTAGGGGAATTGGCCATGGAAGCCGGCATGGAGAAGATCACGGCGGGCAGCAATACTCTCAGAGAGTAGATCGTATCTTAGAAGGGTGCGGCTGAGCCTACGTTGGTAGTACAAGGAGCCTCTGTACATGGTGGCGCCTGTGCTCTCCATAGATTCTGGCAAGAGGAGGACTTTAGTGGGGAAACCACGTGACAGCTGGTCCATGTTTTCATAGCCGAAGAGTTGACGCACTTCAGACCCTACGGCATCTATGCGCCACACCATCTCTGGACCATAAGGTTCTTTAGCTTCTGGGTCTTGCATCCAGACACCGTATTTACCAGCAATGCTGTCAGCCTTGCGGTGCACCTCAGGCTCTTGTACCCACACCAGATCACCACAGCCTGAAAAATCAAGAGATTGGACAATTGTTGGAAAACCAAATGATTTTAAAATGAGATTGCACATGGAGCCAGTGACAGGTTGCAAGGAGATCCCATCAAACCAAAATCTGCTAAAGGTGAAAGAGAGGACCCCTTGTCCTACCATTCCTTTGAGTGTAAAAGATTAGAAGCATAACTTCCACTTTCCTAAAATACCCTGTAAGAGAGAGGTACTGGGGGAAGGGATGGTTGGCAGAATTCAAAGGACTTCCTGGGAACAACCTGAACCTTGATATCTTTAGAAACATGGTCCTATCAAGTGATTCGCATTACCATTTTGGCGCCTTACTAAACATGCGCAGCTCCTTTTATAAACTAGATTATTTTAGACGCAAATGAATTGGTAAAAATAGCAGTATTTGTGTTAGTGCTGTCAGCAGGAATGAATACTATGTGCACAGTGTCATTTTTTCAGGCAGCTGAGATGTAGGGGCATGATGTATTTATACATCAATATGCTTTGACAGTGTCGGAGGACATTTACTAGATCGTGTCACTTTTGAGTGAAAGGCTAGGGTTAGGGTGTGACTCACCTGAGATGTCCGCTGGACCTTCCAGATTTGGGGCAGAAACCTCAGTGACTACAGCCGTCAGCTCCTGGTATCCAGGATTCTCGTGATGCCATGCTGGATCTAGGAGAGCAAGAGGACAGAAATTCACATACCCCAATTGAGACGTGCTTGTGAAGGTGTTGAGGTCTACATTTGTCAAGCTTTCACTGTAAGAATGGCAACTAGTGACCATGACATCACAATCAGAATATCAAAGAACTCTTGTTTGGAAGACCATTTCCATTGTGCAGTACGGAAGGGGGTTCATCTATTATGGTGGTGCAGTTTGTTCTCTGCTAGTGTAACTTTACCCTTGTTACTCCATACCTCTTAAACTGCTTTTGTCTCCTTGTGTGTTCCCAGGCCTTGATACTAGGTGGGAGAGTGCAGGTCCTAAAAGGCAAAGACACATGATGCTGTTATGGTCTAGGGATGTTTACGGTACCTTAATTGCAGTCTAGAGAAACCAGATAATGTGAAGATAGACTGGTTAAAAGGAGATAATCAACCACCGGTACCACTGGTATCCCAGAGTGCCATAACAAAAGTCTAAACAAGTTGAGTAGGGCTTGGTATTGATCCTGAGTTGCCTAAGAGAGGTATGTTGCATGGTTTTGTGGGACTGGCAGCTCTACTGACAGTCAGGAATCTAACAGAAGGAAATAAACAGCCCTGAGTAGATTCCCAGCTGTCCCTGAGCCTGACAGACTCCAGACCTCCCATTACACATCCGAAACTCAGACGTGCACTCCAACAGGGTGCAAATACACACTCCCTGGTTAACAATCTCAAACAAAAACCGAAAAATTTTAAAGCCAATGTGTGTCATTTTCTGATGTAAAAATATCAAACAGTGGAAGACGGTTGAGAAGGGGTAACTTGTTTGAAATTATGTACATTTGATTGGTCCCAATAAAAATGCAAAACGGACCTGAACAACTCACACTTACATTATCCCCACTCCCTTCGTTTTATTGCCAAGGACTAAATTACCTCTGTTAGGCCCTATGACAAACTATGGTGCCACATTATCATTAAAGTCTGATCATGTGCTAACATGTTTACAGGGTTTTATAAT